GTTTCCCTGAAGAAATGCTGGAATTGATGGGATGGGTCACTGTCCCTTGTAAGGCCATTTTAACCTTATTCATTCTGCCGACCTGTGAAAATGGGGTGCTTCCCCTTTTCCAGTGTTTTCTTCAATTTCTTTCTTTACTGTTCTGATCTCCCACTGCAGAGACCTTTCACCTCCGTGATTAGGTTGATTTCTAAGTTTTCATGTTTCAAGGTATTGTGACTGGAACTGTTTTCCTGATTTCCTTCTCAGCTAGCTGATGTGCATGCATCCTCCCTTGCCCGTTTTTAAGACTTTTCCCCCTTAATTTGAGTGTGGCCCTGAAGTGGCCCAAGGGACATAGCTCAGTGCCTCCACCTCCCCTTCTTATGTATTGGAGGCAGAGATCCACTCTTTCTGTTGAGGCTCCACAGTCACGTGCATGTCCTCCTGGGGTGGGCAGTTATTTATTGAATGAATAAAGAGGAAATGATTGCTTTAACCAAGGAAGTGGTTTGGTTGGAAGATGAGAGGAGGCCAGATAGATGGAACAAGATTAGGAGCACTTTCTGTTTTGCAGCTGTCCTGTCATGGTCTTGTCACTGGGACAACATGTACAGTATAAGGGAGGAGAGGTTTATTCTGGCTTCTGATTTCAGAGGCTTCAGTTCGTGGTCAGCAGGCTCCATGGTAGGAGCATCATGGAAGGACGAAGCTTCATGGTAGCTAAGGAACAGAAGGAAGGGTGCAGACAGAGGCACCCCAGTGACCCCTCCTTCCTTGCGCACACTGACCTGTGAGCAGCAGTGGGTTAACCCAGAGTACACCACCCCCATGACCAGTCACCTCTCCAGGAGTCTCTTACTCCAGCCAAGCTGACATCACACGTCTCCAGGCCAATGGATTTGCAATCTTCCCCCCATCTTCTCCTCACTGGATACAAGTTTGACCACTAAAGAATTCCAAAACCTTTTACTCTGACCTTTTTGATTTTTTTTCTTAAATAATGTTTCTTCTGTTCATAGAATGATTCTTGCAAGAGCTTTTCTCCCAAATCCACCAATCACCTGCTTACAGGGGACACCAGCTGGGGGATGAGGGGTCTGATGAGGAACGGTGGAGTCTGCCCAGGCATGTAGTGCTGTGGGCTGCAGCCCCTAAACTAGGAGTTCACAGCTCCTAGTTTAGGAGCTGTGAACATAGAGTGGACTTTCCATGGACCCCAGAAAGCCAGCTGGTTTGGGCCCTGGCTGCCTTATCTAGCCATGATCTGGGGTAGACACAGTGCCGGCTGGAAGCTCCTGGGATGTGCAAGTTTTGATGGCATGATGTGGACTCTTCCTGCTATAATAATGATTCTGGGTGAATGCAGAAACAGCGCATTGAATGGTACAGAAGACTTGCTTCTCCACGGTGTCCACAAAGCCTCCTCATTTTGTGCCTAAGCCTGACATTTTTCACTGCCACCATCCCACTCTGAGCCACCACCAGAGCTTGCCATACTGTGGTGACCTCCTAGCTGGCTTCCTGCCTCTCACTGCACTGTAGCAGCCACAGTTTCTGTTGAGACACGGAGGTGCTAATATTCCCAGTCCACCTACAGGCTCCAGGGCTTTGCATTTCACTGAAACCCAGTGCAAGGGTCCTCATGTTCTCTGCCTCCCTCTGCAGCACCACCTCCACCCCAGTCTCTCACATTCCTCTCCCCTCTTTCCATTCTGGCCCTGGGCCAGGCCCTTTCCCCTGCTGTTGCTTTGGATCTTAAAAGCTTCGTGGGCTCATCCAGGACCCCTCCTCTCCCACACATCCGATCACACTTTCTCAGCCCAAACCCCACGAACCCCACTGTTCATCTCTTTCCCCTTCTTTTTCTCCTTTCCACATTAATAACGTATCTGGCTCTTATCCATTACTGCAAAGTGTAAGATCCATGGACGCAGGTGTTTTAGTGTCCAGTTCAGTGACACAGCTCTGAGACAATAGCAGTGTCTGGTCCCTGTTAGGGACACAGAAGTTATCTGAGGCATGAACGGATAGCGACCATGCCTCAGATAATACTCTCTCTGCGGCCAAGATCTGTGATCTGCTCTCACTGCTGTGAACACAGCTGTGCTGTGTCAGCCTGGGGGCCCAGGTTTTAAGTGAATGGCAGACTGGTTTCCCATCAGTTTGCAATGCTGGCTTCTAGGTTTCCCACCATTTGCAATGGGAACTCACCTGTTGCACTGGCAGATCAGAGAAGCCAAGGCCAGTGTCAAAAAGAGCCCAGAACCTGGCTGTTATGGAATGTTTGGGAAAAACAGGAATAGTGGGCATCTCTGGGCTGCCCCTAGGACTTCTGCAGCTTCCATCAGTAGCTTCATTCTCAACTGTGGGGGCAACAAAGCTAAGGCTCACTGCTTTTCCGTTGTAAAGGCTGGAATCTGAAGCCCAGGTGCAGCAGGACAAGCTCCTTCTGGTGTTTAAGAGGTGAATCCTTGAGCTCCTTCCAGGAGCCTGTGTTTGCTGACCACCTTCCGCACAGAGGAGCACCCTTCCAGTCACCGTGGCCAGATAATCTCCTCCAGACACGAAGTCACGGCATCTGGAATCTCACAGGCTCACAGCTGTGCAATCTGAGCTCCTACACAGGCTCCCTGTGGTCTCAAGTCAAGGCCGTGGTAAAGGAGGCTGATGGGTTTAGCCTGCCTCAGGAGTCTCTCTCTGAACTGACAGTGGCAGCAAGAGCTGTCCCAAATGGACAGCATGGTGGTGTGGATAAAGCAGCTACTCTGCTAGAAAAGAAGTGTCAACAAACATGAAAACTGAGCAGTATTTCATATTTAACCAATAGGCTGATCAGAAATTTATTTACCCATCAGGCACTACCCAAAATGATTCACCATTTGGGACACTTTGTGTCTAAGTCAGCCTTGTTGCTGGTGGCTAACATGTTCCTAAGGAAATGGTCACTAACAAGAGCTGGAGTCCACTGAAAGCTTGTGAAGAGCAAGACACCGGTTAAGTGCTCACACATGCACTGACCCCAGTGCATGCTCTAAACTGCCCTTGGAGGGCTTGACTGTGCTCTCCATTTAACAGAAAGGAAAACTGATTCCAGAGTTATTAATGCAGCTAGCATCACCCAGGCGAGCTGAGGAAGAGCCGGAGTCTGAATCCACAGCCTGGACTTAGGGTGTGTCCCCTGACCTTCACCACCCCCCTCAATGGAGACCTGATGGTCACAGCCTGCCTGCTGTATGTTCCACTCAAACAGCACGGTCATTTAACAGGAAGATATGAGTAGCAGCTTGCTGAGACAGAAATGTAATTCACAGGAGTAACAGATAGAGGCGAGCACAGGACTTCACATGAGGTGTCTCCTTATCACCATCCTCTTTCAACAGACTGCCCTGCCCGCATTACGGGGACAATTTTGAAGTGTTAGATGACATAGTAGCTCAAAATGAGGGGCTGGGAAGCCTGTAAACATTCAGCCTCCTCAGCCCCAAGCACAGAAGTGACAGGAGACATGTGCCAATCACCAAGCTCAAGTTGATGATGTATTGCACAGAAGCCAGGCATCTGTGGTGAGTTGTGCAAGTGTTTCCTCTGCATCCTGTGTGTGTGTGTGCGCGCATGCTGGTTGGCAATTGGAGCTATAATAAAGGATATCACCATTTTTGCATTTAAAAATAGCCTGGGGCCAAGATAGCTATCACTGTTCATTACAATGAAAAAAAGCTAAGTGCAAATGGATGCAAGGGAATACAAAACAGAAACTTAGTACAGGCAGTGCAGAGAGCCAGTGCGCCATGATTAGAAAAGCTCAGGTCACACGTGTTTCACCTGTCCTATGGGCAATTATTTTTTAAAAGAAAAATTTTGGTTATGATCAAGTAGAATGAACACTCTTGCCAACTGGTGATAGGAATACAAATTGACATCGACTTTAAAACGGTGCCATCTGCATGCATGAGACAGTGTGTGTGCCTTCAGTTGTTCTCGGCCTCTGAAATTCCACTACTAAGAATTTACCCTACAATTTGTATTCAGGAATGTGTGCTGTGGTCTTCCCACAGCAACTGCAAACAGCTGAAATACATGACATCTGAAGAGTCAAGTACCGTGATTCAAAGTATTTTAATAATCCAAGAAATACAATACACTAATAAAAGGAAAAAAGGCTCAATTTTACATTTAATTATAAAGTCACATTTTTATCTCTATCTGGGATTACAGGTGGTTTTTATCTTCTAAATTTTACCAAATCATTTTTCTCCATAAAATTTCAACAGACGTGTAAAATATATGCATTTGTTTAAAGTGTTCAGATTTTAAGTGGATAGCACATTTACTTATATACACACCCTCGTGAAGTCACAGGGTGTTTTTATTCCAGGAAGTTTCCTCCTTCTCAGTAACTCCCACCCCAAAAGTAACCACTGTTCTGACTTCTATCATCAATTGCTTCTGTTTCTGATCAGGTAAATGTCATCCTCCACTGCATGGTGCCTGGCTTCATGTGTGCAACATAATACCTCTGGCTTTCAGCCAGTTTTGCTTGGATTGCTCAGTAACTTTTTCTGTTCTTACTGCACTGTAACATTGCATTGCATGATTCAGCCTTTATGTATACTTATCCATTTCACCGTTGATGGAAATTCTTATATATGCCTTTGGTCGACAGACACCCCTTTTTCTCTGGGGTTAGACCAAGGAAAAGAACCGCTAGCTTAGAGTAGGTGTATCTATCTAACTTCGTGGTTTCAACTGTTCCTTCTGCAGTCCCGCTGCCTCTGAGCACAGTGATCACCACCCTATGCCAATCTCTTATTTCCATACTGTTGGCTTCTTTCTTAACACTTCTCTGTCCACTGCAGAAAATGTGGAGTGAACTCTCATTTTGTGCTGCCTTCCCCAAACATGCCATAGCAACACATCCTCCACACCCACAGCTTCTGATTCACTCCGAAATCTCCTCTCCTAACACACAGCGTAGAAATGACTTCGCGCTCTACCTCTGTGGACAGAACACAGGAGTCTTATCTTTGAAAACCTTTTATTAGGCACGGCTAGAAGAACCTGCATGATGTATCTATCACACACATCACGCAGAAAACAGCACTCCACAGGAACCTTAGACAGCACACACAGTGACAGTTACAACAGTTTGATTCCCGTTACGGTTTTTCACCCAAGCTGAGTCGTTATGTTCACCCACAAGATCTGATCTCATAATTAAGACTGCCCTCCCCTTCCAAAATGACTAATCAAAAACACTTTTATTTTTAAAAAGCCCAGCCACAACGCAAGGCCATAGGTATGCTACCCAAAATCCAGAATTAGAGCCTACAATACCACGAGGTGTCCACACTTTGCAAATCTTGTCTTTAATAGGCGTGTGATGGGACACTTGGCTTATTTACACCACCAGCAACAAGATGGTACTTATTAAACTACGATGACACACACACCACTGGAAATTCTTGAGGTAATAGCTTTTTAAACTTTGCTGGTTAAAAAAACAAAAAAACAAAACAAAACAAAACAAAACAAAAAAAACTGTTAATTTCAAAGTCCTGTCCAGCAGGACCCGTCTGTTGGCAGGAATATTCTTTTTTTTTTTTCTGCGTCAAATATTTACATATATTTGCATATACAATTCGTGTTTCTGTCTTTTCTAAGCACATAGTTTATTTTAATCATCCATCATACATTCATCAGGAAAAGCTGAATTACATACTATGGTACATAAAGAGTAGAACAAAATCAGTGTTCCATATAAAGCAAAACCAAAGGCACGAAGCCAGAAGAGAGAAATGACAGGAAATGGCTCCGCGCTGATAGAGCGCTCCGCAAAGGAGTTAAACGTGTATCTGCAAACAGTGCGGTGCAGGGAAATTTATTACTCATAACGGGTTTCCAAAGACGAGTTGTGGAGAACTAGTCAAATTCCGGCAGCATCACTTTTACTTTTCAGTGCTTTCTGAAACGCAATTTTATCTGACTTGGATCTATTGATAGAACACGCCAATTCCTGTTTTACACTCAACCTTCTTTTTCATGGTTTTAAAATACATCTCAAATGCAATGTTTTCAATTTCCGGTATTTATGCTCCACTTTCATACTGTAGCTTAGAAATGAACAAGGAATCTAGGGGACATACACTGGCTAAGCTGCCGTTCCGGAGACCATGCAGTAGATGGGGTAACAAATAGTCTCCACACGGCCAGGTGGAGACACTGTCTCATCACCACTTTTTAAATAGAAGGGACAAAGAACATTCACAAAAATATATATGGCTTTTTGGATAAGAAATAAAGTCAAGTGAAAAAAATAAGGCACTAATAACAGATAGAAATGTTTTATACTCATCACACAAAGCACCGTACAGAAGGTGTGCTCGTGCGATTGGAAAGTGGAAGTAAGCCCAGCTACCCTGGCTTTCATTCATTAGTTTCTTCCTTTCTTTTCATAAGTTAACTGTAGAAGTACCAGAGTGGTAAGGGAGATGATACAGCAGGCAGAACTGATAGAGCCAACCGCATGAAACGATCACTGGGAAGTAAGAAGCTGGCTAAGCTGATGATGAAATTAGGGCTGGCAACTCATTTCCTAACGTTTTTATCTCAGATAAATTTGTTTTTCCTTCTAATTTCTTTTCAGAGATTTCTACAAATTAACACTGTAAGCCTTATGTCCACCAGCTTCTTTTCTAAAATACATTCAGAATAATTCCCCAAGCAGTTTTCTAAATATCAAAGTGAACAGTATTATTACTGAAATGGAGAAAGAGTTAAACATAAAACTTAAAAAAATCTCTTCAATCAGGCTCATTTTAAATATGAAAATATAAATACAGTTTGGAAAATGACTACAAATTTTACAGGTAATTTTGTGTAAACCACTAGTGACCGTTCCTCCCCTTAAACTTAGATTTCTTTCCAGTGAAACACATGCCATTTAAATAGGAGAGGACCATTAGTCCATGGAAGTCACATTTCTGAATACATAACAACAGACTAAAGAAACCGCTGTTTTAGCATCTTACATTTTTTTGAAAAGGAACACGTGAATAATCGCCTTGGAGTTTTGCCACAGATATATGGGTTCCACGAAACTGTCTAATCAATTTTGTTTAAAACAGAAACAACTTTTATGGCTCCGAAGTATGTAGTAAGGTAGTGTAACTTCACAGGACTGTAATGCTCGCTGCTGCTTTTGTGTTTCTTCCCCAGTTATTTCTGTGACTGCATAGGATCTCCTACTTCATATATTAATGGTTACTTTCATCAGCTGTAACACTGTCAATTATTTTCAGATTAAAAATCTGTAACCAATTGTCCTTGTCAAGGGAAATGGATTTCATATGAACTATCAGGATAGTCTACTTTCCTTAACACAATCTACAGAATTTAAGATGAAAACAGTTACACAATATGGTCAGATAGTAAAAGTAAGCTGTCAGAGGGCTGCCACAGTTCTGAGGGCTTCAGCAAAAGATGTGCAGTCAGCCAATAAAAAACCCATAATTTATGCAGAATTTATTCATAAAGAAACAAAGCATGCTTTTAAAAGACTGAAAAATTTAGATATGTATATAAAATATTCTGTTACTATTTCCTTAAAATAGTAACAATATATTGGATTTAGAGGAAGTAATGCGTTAAACAAAAACTGTTATTTTTAGTGATTTGATTAGATCACTGAGAACTTTCCCTAGCTGGGCCTGGGATAAACATGTCACAAATGTCCAGGGAACAGATGACCAGTATCGTAAGAACCACCTGACGGGATTACTTTGACAATTTCTAGGGCTTTTTAACACCCACATAGGAATCTCTTCTCTTTTCTGTAATATGCACTAGTCCCACACTAAACCCATCTTGAGCATGGCTTAAATCTAAAACCCATCAGTAAAAAAGCTGAACTTTCACAAATGACAAAGGCAGTTCTGAAGGGTGAGAACCAGTTCCATTCAACGTGGTTTATTTTTGATTATCAAGAAGTCTAAAGATGGGCCAGGGATATAGCTCAGTGGCACAGCACCTGACTGGCAAGCATGAGGCCATGAGTTCAATTCCCAAGATCCCCCTTCCAAAAAGTCCAATGATATTCAAAGACTATGACTATATACAAAGGCTACATTATACAGATTCATCCCAGAATTTGTTGTTGCTAAACAGAATTATATAAATTACATTATATAGATTCATCCCGGAATTTGTTGTTGCTAAGACAGCAACAACAAAACCACCACCTCTGTAGGATGAGGGCCAACACCTCGGCATCAGGTTGGATTGGGGAGGGGTCTACATTTGCTTCCTGCCCAACCAATATGCAAATACTGATCTCACGGCAACAGGGGCCTGGCCCCACAGTACCACCAGACCCCTGGTTTCACCTACTTAGTGGCAGAGGGCTAAACAGAGTCCTTTAACTCCTACCAAAAAGAAGGAAAAGTGCTTCACACATTCCCGATGTGTGCCGATTTACAGACCAAACAAAGACAAACTGCACTCACTACCAGAGTTCAGTTACGGATTCTGTTCAATGCAGGATTTCATCAGAGGGGAAGGAGGCAGTGGTGAGAAAACTTCTTTCTCACTTGGGCAAGACGGGAAGGGAACTGCAGAGATGAAAAGCAGATCAGGAATCTGAGATTTTGAAAACACGTTCTTGATGCTGAGGTATAGGTGGGTCACTGCAAAGACCAGGAAAAAAGCTGTCTGACATTCACGATGGATCAGAGTGACAAAACGTGGCACAGAATTGAAAAACTAACGATGTTACCTATGTTAGTAAGCCTGGGTAATTTAAGTGACGCACAGTCAAATACAGTGAATGAAGTCTCAGAAGGCCAAAGGAAGTGACAAAGAAAGGCAGTGGCAGTGATCTGTGTATTTTAAGAATTTACTGCATTTTAAGCTCAAATTCTTTTATTCTCAGTCACATCTTCAGCCAAAAGAACACAGTTTCTAACATAGGTTAACAGCATGCTTGTAACACTGGGCTTCTGTGCAGGAATCTACAGGGTGCATGACACGTCATGGCCTCTGCAAACCCTCCAATGACAATGGCAGTGACAATAGTCTCACACTCCCGAATCTGTTTACTGGACATGGAAAAAGCCACAACGCTGGCCACCCAGCAGAGAGGGACAGCACAAGTTCCGCCCAATGCTCAGGTCTGTCCTCAAATTCAGAGCCACAAGATCAGATCTCCTCTGCATTCTTCTCTGAAAGGTTTATGCCATTGCAGCCTTCCCATCTGAGACACTGCCTAAAGTTTGATTTTGCTCAGATCATACTTTTATGGTTATACAAAATTATTTCAGGTTTCAGCAAAGTAGTAATTGTAGATATACTTATTAGAATGTGATTTTGGAATCTGTTTTCTTATTAGGAAGGAAAATACCATTTTAAATTATGAGTTGACAAATATAAAATGTGCCTGAGCTGTCTTGATTTTCCATGTTTCTGGACAGGGAAATTTCTTTTCATAAAATTTGTGAACCATGTAAATGCAATTAAAAACTTCAATAGACATTAACAGTTTTTAAATAAATATTCCAACTAAGTTATTAGATAACATTTTTAAGTATTAGTCATTAAATCTGAGCTCCCAACAAACTGATAATAACCAGTTTCCAGGATTACTATCATTTTACAAAGTACTGCATTTTTAAAACTGTTTTACTTGTTTCAAAGTTTTAGCTGCTGATTCTCCACACATTTGAAGCAATGAACAAATATTTCACAATGCTTTTACTCCACTCTACTGAAATGTATGCATTAGTTGCTTAAATGGCATGAATATTCTACAGTGCACTGTAGACTTTTAAGGCTGTTGATAATAAACAGTAACATAAAAATACAGAGCCGGCCAGTGGGACAATGACTTTCAATAGCAAGGGATGGACTTCAGCCTCTGACACGGGAGGATAAGCAAATTACCTGATGTGATTGCTCACACTAACGGATGTGTCTGCTTGCTCATAAGCGGCTTTTGGTACCAATGTTCTGGCTTTCAGACTTAAGAAAGCACAGCAATGGATCTTCTTCAGACCACGAGCATCTTTATGAATCCTTCAGGCAGCACAAAGATGTCAAGGACAACTGCGTCTGTTTAAGGGCAGAGAGTCTGGGATGTCCTGGCATGCGCGGTCACCTCTGACCAGTTCCAGGGCCCGCTCCGGGCCATTCTGGGGAAAGGAGCAGCTAGAAGAGCAGAGGGGTGGAGAAGAATGGAATTGGGAAGCCCCAGGACAGGGTATGGCAGCTGCAGCAGCTCACAGGCATTTTATGGGCAGAATGCATCACCCATCAGGGCACTAGGACTGAAGCCACAGAGCAAGGGACACTGGGAGAGGAACCACTAAGGCCGGCCCCTACGGTGTCAAAGTGCAAGCAAAGGTTGGCACTGTGGCCTGACTGGGGTCTCGCTGTCTGCGCTCCTTTCCCAACTCCACAGTGGGGAATTCCTCGGGGAGGAAGAGTGGGGTGCTCACTGAAGCATGGATGCTTCAGATGGTTCCCTAATTCATGCATAGAGCCTCTTCTACTGTGGGCCCTGCAGCTGTGAACCGACTCTTCCCTGCTTTTCACCACGGCACTTGCAAGGTCCTGGGTGGTGTAACATGCGTGCAGTTGGACAGTGCTTTGAAAGATGTGACGAGAATCATTAATTTGGCTCGAGCATTCATTTCATTCCCTCAACATTTTAAGAACTGGCAATCCAAACATCAATTCTTCCTTCTCACTTTATCTGTGAGACATACTAGTTTTTCGGCAAAATGAGTACTTTTCTTATTTATGTTTTGGCAAGGTACTTCCTTGGCGAATTGAGCAGACAGGAAGTTATCCTTCCAAAGAAGCTTTTCTTCAGAACTTATGCACTCCTTGTACAATCTTGCTTTTATTCCAAAAGCCTTCCTTTCACTGTCAAATGCATTTATTTTTATGCTTTCATTTCTTGAAAGTGTATTAATTTTTAGTTAAAAATATCAGATAAAAGCCAAATTTAAAAACTTATGGATGTGCTCACACAAGGTGAAAAATATACAGAGAAAGGATGTTCACTGTATCGTGTAAGAGAGATGTGAAAACAATCTTGGTGTGTCTACTTAACCGGAGATTAAGTTGATTAAAGTATAGTCCTCCAGTGGACTATGTGGTAATTTATAAAAGAATGAGGTAACTCTAGATAAAACTCTTATGGAAAGGCATCTATCAATATATAATAAAATGAAAAAGACTCAGAGCAAAGTAAAAGTATTATTATTCCATCTGTATAAATCTGTAATAAACACAATGCACACACAACACACACACATACACTTGTAAATTTTTAGAAAGTGATTAAAGAGCACATACCAAACCATTAACAGTGGCTGCCCCTCTAAAACAAAGGTTGGGGTAAACAGGAATATGTTACTTCATAATTCTATATGCAGTTTTGATTTTTAAGGGAACATATATTAAATTTATAATAAAAACATATAAAACTGACAAGCCTTGGATAGAAAGATATTTATTTACTGTGCAGACATCTGTTTCTAAAGTAGTTTTCAGAATTAATCCTAATAAAGTCACTACTATTGTTTTAACTTCAAAGTTGGCACTGACATATAAATAATTCTTTTTCATTTCTCTTTTAAAGATCTAGAAACTCAGTAAAAAAATTCACAAAGAACTACTTTAAGTTACCAGCAGAGAAAAGCCTAATAGCTATCAAGCTTTAAAGAGAAAAATGCATGTATTTATTTTAAAAATATATGCCATAGAAAAATGAAAATTCCATGCAATACAGGACGCTACCTCTCACACACTGAGGAAACAACTCTGGCTAGGGCACACAGCGCTTTGAAACTGGCACACTTGGAAAGTTTTCAAATCATATAAAAATAGGTCTAAAAGATAAGTTATCCAGAGAAAGGAATAAAAATCCCTGAGTAGGCCAAAGACGAACAGACAGAACAACCTAGGAAAACAGACGATCTGGGACCAGAGCACACCTTCAGCTACTTGGCATATAAAGACTTGGTGTAGATATTTTTATGCTACAGACACACAGACCGCTAGAGTGGGAGTTCCACTTATTCATATGCTGCCAAACTATGCCTAAAACCAGAAAAGATGAATTTCAAAAGATGAAGCTCTTTTATGACAGAACTATGTATTTGGGCTAGAGATTCATTCTTTTGGTTGAATAGTATGGGACCCACCTACAGCAGGCACTCAGCAAACAGCTGCCGAACGGGTAGGCGGATGAACAGAACGATGAACTTGGGAATGCGAATCCCTCCTCCCCTCTCCTGTTTCTCTTGGGAAAAATGCTCTCCAGAGACACAGATGTCCAGCCCTTCTCCACCTGCAATGGACCACCAGCCCAGAGACTGTGGTGCTACTCGGCGTGACGCCAAAGAAAGCAAGCATGCTGGCTTGTGAGCTAGGAGTGACCTTAACTGCCTTGAACCGGGGCTTGAACCGCAAACAAAAGTGAAAAACTATTTTCACACTCTGGAGCCCAAGAAAGAAAAAGCTATTCAAAGCAATGTGTGTGTTACTGTATCATCTATCTCGGGTCAGGTGAGGCTGCTGACATGCTTTTATGCAGATGGTTAACTGGAGTCTCAGGAGTCAGTGGGAATTTTCGGGGTCTTCTCCAAACATAAGTAGTGGGACTTTGGTGATGAGAATGAACGAATGTAAGTTTCATCAATTGTCTTTCTGTTCCAAAGACGTCACACCTTAGAAAATATCCTGAAAATACTTTGTTTTTGTTTCCTTCTCTAAAAATACTTTATATCTTAAGTGACTCTGTGAACAAAGAAAATTTTGTTTTTAAATTACCCCCCATTAAAAAGATTCCCCAGATTATTATGCATCTGAGTAGCAAACGTAATAAAAATCCTTTGAGAGTAGTATTTATTTTCGTGAAACTCAGGAACAGATAAAAAAACAGAGAAGAGAAAAAGGTGAAGTATGAAATAATTTAAAATCTTGACCTAAAGCAGAGTTCCCTGTGATTACAAGTTAGTAATTAAAAAACCAGTGGAACAGAGCTACAGCCAACTTGTTCTCTGGATTAAGTAATCTCCTGTGAAATATGATTCATAGAGGACAGCATTTATACTAAAATATAAGAAATCTGAGAAGACGGAGTATTTGGGACTGGAGAATTTTCTAAGAGCATCCTACCTGTTTTTTCAGTTTACAATGGAAGGGTCACCACCATGGAAACAGCCTGTGGTCTACACCACTGACTTTAATTCACTACATTCCCAAACTAGGCCCACTACAGAAGCATCATCTCTAAACCGGCCCATGAAAGTGTGAAAACAGCGTAGAGGCATGGAAATAGGGGAGCAGGAGGTTACTGAGCTTCATTTAATACAGACTTACACACACACGCACTCCAAGCCTGACGCAGACACACTGTAGTGACTCACGATTCTTTCTCGTTAACTTAAGTTTCATGAGTTCCCTTCTGGGCATGGAAGTTTTCAGCAATGGCAGCATCTCTAGCATGAAGGAACCCACTGCCTGGGCTACACACAGCAACAGGTGCTTTCAGCCAACTCGTGTATCCTGAAAAGTGACCTCGCCCGGTTGGGACAGACAGGACAGGCACACCAAGTCTGCTGGACAGACCGGAGGGTTCGGGGTTCAGCGGTCCCCCAGGCCCTCGGAACAATGCTGAGGAAAACCAGTTCTTAATTAAAATGTTTTCTTCCAAGAACCACGAAGGTCTGAGTTATGACACAGGTACTAAGAGTTTATGAAAGTGACCGTTTTTTAAAAAGCAGCAATTTGCCTAGGGAAAGGGCAGGATACCACGTTGGGAGTGCACCGTAGCTAGCGGCGTGGTGGACAGAGGACCCTGGGGAACGGCGGGTGGCAGAAGGGTCCTCCCAGGGTGGCTTTGGGGTGACTCGCAGATGCAGGCTGTCCCGCCGGCCAGGCTGACATCGGGCGATAAATCTGCACCCCTCTAGTCCATGCCTGTCCGTGACCGCTTTCTCTGTGTTTTACAAAGGCAATAGATTGGAAATACAAATAAACCTAGGGGTGAAACAGAAACACAGGAAGTTAGCCACAGAGGCATTCAGGTACACATATTTGAAAATTTCCACATTAGTTTATCTGCAAACACTTGTAAAGTAATCATTACTTAGCACTGCGTAGGGGAGAGGGAAAATACCTACGATATGCATTTATCTGGTAAAACTTCCTCTGCTGTAGCTCCCTTTCCTGTGTAACACACGCAGCAATACCGGTTTAAAGATGGAATAATGCTTCCTACCAAACTACCACACCGCGGCTTCAGCCCCAGATCCAGAGTCACATGCAGAGGATCATTTTACTGAGGAGCAAAGACCGCGGAGCTGCGGGTCTGCAGTCCCAGTTTTCATGGCTACGATGTCCACTTTGTGTCCTCATGTGGGAAATGTAGATAATAACATCGACTCTGAAAAGTCCTGACTCACCCACCAGAGCCACCATCAGGTACCTTATAATTCTATCTGACTTGGGCAGGTATCAGTGGCTACAGTTTACATGCAAGACTCATTTCAGCCAAACAAGTCCTTCCTGCTATATAACACAATTGCCAAAGTGATCGCTGTCCAAGTGCGGGCCTTGAACCTCGGGACTACAGCAGGCTGGCCTGAAAACTTTCTAGAAATGCAGATTCCCAGGCCCACACCACACTGAGTCAAGAAAGGTGGGTGGGGAGCAGTGGTGTGTTTTAACCAGCCCTGTGGTTTTTCTGAGGCATGCTAAAATCTGAGAACTACTGCTTTAAAACACATATTTTAATATGCTTGTATGTATAAAGCTCTGCAAATTATTGGTAAGATTTCTACTGGTCCACCTTCAAGTGTATGCCGGCTGTCTGGGCCTATGTAGGGAGCTGGCCAGGCTCCCTTTTCGTACAAGACACAGACCCTACACAGACTCACACACTCAGCCATGTGACACAGCCTCTTTGATGGTCCAGCTCAAATGCAGAATTGAAAAATTCAAGTCTAGTTCACTTGAGTTTTTCACTAAAGTATTAGCTGCACTGACTTGGTATTAAAAGCAGGCTAATACAATAATGCTTTTACATAAAGTATCCCTAGGCTGAAAGGAGTCAAACATACCCTCCAGGAGAGTGCTCCTCTGAACTTGTGAGTCACAGACTGTGTAAAGCAGGCCTGGGACAGACACCATGATCCCTTGGTAAAAGACTCCCATGACTCCAGTTACACACACACTGTAGACAGCCCCAGTGGACCCCAATCTCAGACACTTGACGTGTTTCTTACCGATTACAACTGCTATGGCCCCCAGTGCTAATCCCAAAACCAGGATTAGAGGTGCAATGAATAATTTTCCAGCTGGAAAACAAAAGAAAAAAAAATGAACAGCCTCCAAAGGAATCTACCAAACAATCACAGCAAGCTTTTTAAATTCCACGGCAAATGCAATTTAGTAAGCTGGATTACAAGTGAGGTCTCTAAGAAATATACGGAACGCAGGTGCCCACATGTAAGTTCACGGATCCTCACCTCAGGAACAACCCCCAAAGGTGGGTGATGCGTCACGCACCTCACACAGCACTGATTTGTCATCACTGAAGGATATTCCTAAGGGATCAGCTCAGTGCATTCCACCCAGAACAACTGTGTTGGGGGTTTTTCTCTTAGATCTCTCTCTTTTAGTTCTCAGATTGTTGAAGGATTACAAAGGGACTAACACATTTGAGGTAGCAGGTAGGAAACCTGGTCAGCTCACCAAGCGGAGAGCTAGGTATCCACTCATGTTTGCTCCCATCTGTCTCCCTCTGTGTGAGGACTCTTGTATCAGGTTGTGTTTCTGATGAGGGTAAAAAGGCAATGTACAAGGCATTCGCACCTGGTAACTGAACACGGTATGCGTGTGCTGGGAGCTTTTGGTGCTTACCCCCTTAGCTGTTGACTATTCATGATTCATACATTAGAAACTCCACAGACACAGAGCAACTCTACTGCAGGACTCGGAAACATGTGTGGTGGCTGCTTCTTTCTGTTTGGTTTTGGGGACCATGTTCCATACTGTATAGTACTGCAGGTATTACTGCTGTATGTGAGCCATGCCCCCAGATGCTGCCCATACAAAAATCAGTGAGACTCTGTTCCTCTGATCAAGCAATTGGAAATGTAAAAATCTAATGACTTCAAATTTTCAATTTTTAGAAATATTTTTGTTTTCACTTTGCTTTTGAGATAGGGATCTTAGTATCCTGCTCAGGCCAGTCTCAAACTGCAGCTCAAGCAATCCTCCTGCCTTAGGTTCCCAGTGGCTGCGATGACAGGAGCACATCTCAGCACCTGGTTAAGGATTCAAGTTGGATCAGAAAGAAAGAGAGGGAGAGAGAGGGAGACAGAGACAGAGAGACAGACAGAAACAGAGAGGGACAGAGAGAGAGACAGAGAGAGATAAACCTGTTTGAGTCAAAGCCCTATGAGAATCCCCAGCACACAGCAAGCGCTCAGCTCTCCAGTTCTAAAACCACCGCTTCATTCGCTCTGAGGGAGGATTCCCACAAGCAGGTCAGACACGCACCACAGACGGACCCTCGCACTAATCTCCGTAGATGAGGTCTCTCTGGGAGGTAGCGATATTTGCATCCAAATATGCTGAGGTTTGATGTGTGGTCTCCGAAGAACCGGAGCTGGCGGTATCTCTCCCCACACCGATAACAGAAATTAGTGTTACACTGCGAGCAGGTCATGTGGTCACACCCTTCAGTCTTCTGGATGTGGATCTGGAGTGGAGAGAGGCAAACACAAGGAAAGGTTATCTCAGTCATTGGACAGTGAAACATGGCCCGTTTTATGGAACCACCATTCACAGACTCCACCAACACGGAAGTCTAGGGTTGCCCTACCAAGGCTGTGGGTTTGCCTCTTCATCACGACCTCCAGGACTCAATTTTAACTTGACACTCTTGGGTGTGGAAAACACAGTAATGGTTAACGCATTCGTGGTATCAGCGCGTGTGGACCAGCATATGAACCATGCCAGGGAAGATTCGCTGGTCTTTCCTGACACACAGCCTAACTCTGTGATTTGGACAGTGCAGAATACTGTGCAACTGTATTTTCTTTAAGTTTACAATCAGCAAGCATGGGGTGACTCAGGGGTAAGGTGAGTTGGGTGAGTCGTAAAAGACAGGATCATGTGAAACTCTGGTGAATGTCAGGTGGCAGAGATCTTCCCACCAAAGGACACACGATAGTAGACAGCCACGCATCTGCAATCTCACTTCATTTCTAACTGCAGGATGACTTGTCAATGTATTGTTAATGGGACCCCTTCTACAATGCTTCCCTTGCAACCTTGCACCCTTCTCTGTCACAGCCCAGCTGTACACAACTGCAGCTCCCCCCATGATATAATGAGGACTGTGCTCCTGGACAGCCTTTCCTAAACCCAAGGACACTGTCTCGAGCCCCCGGGTCACAGAATAAGCCCATTACTGCTCCTTGAAATATAACCATGTGACCAGAGTCCTTTGGGATGCAGTGTATAAACTGGAGTCATCTTGTACTCAAATATGTGCTCACTCAAATATGTGTCAGAGGAATAATAAATGCATTATTATTTGACAAGGTCTCATCAAAAGAAAAATACTTTGGTGCCAGGTGCAGTGGTGGACACCTGTAATGCCAGCACTCAGGGGGCTGAGGCACGAGAATCATTATGAATTCAAGGTCAACATGGGCTACAAAGTGAGCTCAAGGCCAGCCTGAACTGTATAGTGAGACCCTGTCTCAAAAAAAAAAGAGAGAGAAAGAGAAAGAGAAAGAGAGAGAGAGAGAGAGACAGAGAGACAGAGAGACAGAGAGACAGAGAGACAGAGAGAGAGAGAGACACTTTGGTTACACTGGCCAGTTCCGGGCTTTCTGTCTGGTTACAGAACAGGTGCTTTCCACAAGTGGTCCACCTCTGCATCTGTTCACATCTGTTTCCAATGAGTGCACTTGAATACCCACTCCATTATAATAAAAAAGGCATACCATGGGGCATATACGTCCTAGATGTGTCTGTATGTGTGCATATATATTTACATATATGGGTCTTTCACTCAGCAATTGTATCTCATCCTGTGAGCGTATATGTGTGATGCTGTCTGGTAACACGGAGTATTTTAGTGCCACCGTGAATGGAATGACTGACAGGAGAGGCCTCCAGAGTTTGTCCAACTCCTGCTCATGAAGCCTGGGCCAGGGTTTACAGATTTTCCTGACTCATTTGCAGTGATTCTCTTCTTTGCCTAACACACAGTGGGAATTCTATAAACTCTGGTGGAAAGCTAGTTACAAATGTATTTTTAAAAAAGCTGGTCAGTGATTTCAGAGGTGAGACAAAATCACTCAGGAAAAAAGGGAGATCTTGTGAAGAGGGAAATGAAAAGGTTGAGAGTTGAAGAAAATGATTCACTTTGAAATATATACCTATTATACATGTTTAGGGAACACAGATTTGTGAAACTGTTAACTCCAGATCATATGCAGCATTGCAGTATTGTGATTAAACTGCATTAACATTTTTAGAAAATCTTCCCCCTTGTTTTTCTTTTTGTTGGTACCGGGAATTGAACTCATGACCTTGGGCTTACCAGGCAGGCACTTATGCTGCTAAGCGATAGCCCCAGCCCCCTGCATTAGCATTTTTTAAAAATGTTACTAATCCATGTATGCAGCGCGTAATGATTATATTCACTGCAGAGTCGGTACATGTACACGGCACATCTGGTTTTTTTTTTTTTTTTTTTACAACCCCTCATGCTCTAGCTTAAAGAAATGTGCACTTGAACAAGAATTGTGAGACTAGAAAATAACAGCAGACAGTACCCACAGCAGAGGGACACGTTTCCTCTGAAAAACGCACGTACACAGGCATCCATTTGTCTATCATCGTCTACCTACCAGGGGATTATGACAATTTTAAAGACGTAACAATAAATAGAGGGAAGCATATTATGGGCAAGCACTTCCTATAATAGAGAAATGAAGGAACCAAGAGAGAAAGGCCTGGGAAGTGGCTGGCAAGACCTCGGGAAGTTAGAATTGTGGCAGGAACTGTGTTTAAAGGTGGGAGTGGCTCTGGAGGCTGAGTGGCTCCTCACAGGTAAGCTCAGTTTGCAAGGAGGTGAAGCGTGGGGTCTTTGGATTCAGGGAGGCCTGTGTCTTGGGTCTGGCTACATTAGTTGCCTAAAACCAAGTTACTTCCCATCTCCCTAGCAACAAATTCAATGATGCTCTTTTCCATGCAGTGTGAGATACAGCAGCTTTGAGCCTGGTATGTACTGAGTCAGATCAATATGAAGAAGTCAGTTCCAATCTTCCCTTCTCCCTTCCCCACTTACAAGTGTAAGAAAAGAATCCCCTGTGTAATGGAGCTGCAAGCCCCTTCCTGGCCGGGTAGTCCTCTTTCTCCCATTCTTGGGGCTGGTGCTGGACCAGGCAGCACCTCCCAGATAGGCCTGAGTCAGCTTGTGGCCAAAGGTATCTGGGCCTATGCTCCAGGCTGGCTAACAAATCACGATGTGGGCTGTTATGACTGTGTCTAGTTGTCCCCCTAAAGCCTCATGTTCTCATAGATGGGCTTTCCAGAGCCGGCTGGATCTTGGATGTGTGATATTTAGGTCAAGACTGTGGTACCAAACTAGTCTGCTGATTAGAACTAGCATAGTGCTAGGTGTGGATAATGTGACAGCCCACCCTGTGTGTGGGTGGTACCGCCCAAAAGGCTCGTAGCCTTTGGGTAAGAAGGGCAAGGAGGAGATTTGGATCTGCCTCCGCCGCTGCTGCCACTGCCTGCTGCCCCCACACCATGGATGTTTCTCCTGCGTGATGCCCTCTGCTGGGCTGCTCCAACTGGGAGCCAGCTGACTATGGGCTGAAATCTCTACTGTGGGCTGAAATAAACTCTCCCCTTAAGTTGTGTGTCTCACGTATTTTGTCTCAGCAAAGAAGAGTGCTTAAGACACAGGCAACAAAAGCCAAATTTCCATTGCTCACTGCTGGCTACCTTTTCCTCTTATATGGCTATTGATTCTTTTTTTTACATGATAGTCTAGTTGCAGGGAACTCAGGTTTTGCGGGGTGTGTAGATCATTAAATGTAGGGGCTTTCTTGAAAGAAAAGAATATAAATTACAAATAAAAATGAGACACCAGGCCTAAGAAGGGGCGCATGCAGGTGAGGGCCTCTAAGGTGCACCCCTTCACCTGCCTGGTGAACTCTTCGGCAGCCCCTACTTTGTCCCTTTTGTGCTGCTTGTCACCAATGACCCAGCACAACTGCAGAGTGGATGGCGCTGAGGAGAAACAGCGGCCAGGCTCGTCCAACCCTGGAGCCAGGTCAGCCCTCTGCAAGTCAGGTGGCTGCTAGGAGAGAGTGTGTTTTAGGTAAGGCTGAGCAGCAAACACTGCAAGCTCCGAAGCTGAGTGCACACTAGGTTTGATCTTGGGAGGCAAGAGACCCTGCCAATACAGAAGCAGCGTCAGTGATCTAGGAAGGGAAGAGCACTGACGTCTGTGTAGAGCCCTCCGCACGCCTGATACTTCATGCTGCACAGCACTCTGCACCAGGACACTGGCATTTTTAAATTCTTCAAACAATTTTTAATATAAAACATATAGATATGAATACAGAAATTATAAGAAAGCACTCTTCTATCAAAATTTTTCGTAATAAAACTAGAGAATAACAACATTCATACACTTGCCTCAGTGACAGAACAGCCCAAATGCAACTGTACATGTGGAGAAGAAAAGAGCAAAATGCAGACAAGAACCCGGCATTGCCCTCAGACCTGGAACCCGGGAAGCAGGCTGCGTGGGAATCCTAGAGAGTGGAGGACGAAATCTCAACTCTGTCTGCTCATTCTGCTGAGTGCTAAGAGCCTCCCACCATGAAGGCAAAGGTGGGGCTGAGCTCAAGCCTCTTTGGGAACCCCAGCCTGGTGTCTAGGGCAGTCAGCTCCACGGTGCCTGAGCCCTTCTGCCCACTTCTGTCACCCTGGCCTGATCCACCTTCTCCCCTCCTGCTACTGAAACTTTTCCCAACAGCAAGATGGCTCCCCAAAGTTCTTCAGTACGTGGCTGACACTGTAGCACACATATGTCAAAACTTCACATACAACTGTAACTGTCATTTTATGTCAGGCTGTAATGCTGCTTCATTCCATCCTAAAATCTTCATGTGGTCCATTTATTATTGCATTTAACTACCAACAGCTCCCATTTCTGTCTCCCTCTAGGAGTCTTCCCTAATTAATATAAAACTCAGCACCCGGCAAGCAGCTCAAGTCCTGTGGATCAGTTCCTGCAGAGGAAATGGAAAATTGTAAGTTTCGAAAATGCGCCCTAGTAATACTGAATACTTCAGGGTGATATGGTTCTATAAATCAATTTGAATATTTTATGTTCATAAAGGCATGGGAATTGTGTCACAATTTACCAACTTGGGGTGTGCATGGTTCCGTTAGCACGCCTGTTAATATCTTGTGATTGCATGCAAGTGTTTTACTGTTTGATACAGAGAGATGAGCTGGTAATGCAAGCCCATGTGCATGGAAGATGTGACATTTTGCTTAGCAAGTTCCAATTCAGAATTCTTGACAGTTAGGGGAGCATAAGATTCAGATGCTAAATGAATCCAAGACAATGCCATCTGTTTATTTTTGTAAATATGGAAAGCCCTAAAACACAGGTTAAAATTATATTTACATAAAGTCCAGCCCCTACCCCATGAA